CATGCTGAGCAGGTGTCAATGTTACAAGTCATTCATAGCACGCTTCATTCGTTAACCGGTTTAACATCTCGGCTTACGGCCTCGATGTTTAAACCTGTTAACTCATGAAAGCCGTGCTATAAATGTGACTTGATGATATACTTGGGTTATCTCTGACTTTGAGAATACCCTGCAGTCCTTCAATTTGTGTGTAAAATCATCTTTAACGGACCCGTGTGTGACACAGTTTCTTTCCATATGGAGCCACGGTGGCCTTGAGGTCGGGTGTTCGATCCCAGCATTGGCCGAGAAAGTTCATCCAGATTTTCCGGCGTGGTTGCCCCCTTGTCAGTGGTCCAGGACAGAGGGCTGACAAGGACAGCTGTCTTGTAGTTCAGATGGGACGAAAAACCGAGGTTCCGTGTTGGAATTCGATATAGGAGTAGGCCGTCGTGCCGCTGTCCGGGCAAAATTTTCCTCATAGCACACTGTATGGCGTATGCCCGTCTTCATTAGCCTAGTTCGGAGCTGAACAGTAGGACGTTAAACCCCATTTCATTTCATTTCACATGCCCTGACGAACTGGCAGAACTATAAACATGTGTATGTCTACTAACGTTAAAATTACCCACGTAAACCTTTCTTGGTATAAAATAGCCCACGTAAAAGGGTATAAAAGGGTTACTCATACAGTGCAACAGCTTGTCGACGATATCAACCGTGGTAAAAGTGGACGTAAAACTCCAAGAACGAACGAAGTGCAACAGCCGGAGCTTCAAATGGATCCCCGGATTATGACCAATATATACCCAACACAAAAAAAGTTGGGTAGTGGTGGGGACATATCTCCTTTTTGCGGGTGCCACACCCTCCTCCCCCTCCCATTTTCAAATTAACTTAATCCGCCCACTCCGGGTTTTCTTTGTTGATTATCGACCATCACGGCATCATCACTTCTATGAACTTTTTTTTTTATGACATCTTCATAAAGGAAGTGAAGTTTTTGTTTTTAACTTTAACATCAAGACCAGGCTTGTCCTTTGTTAATAAAGTTAGCCTTTTTCTAATTTCCTCCGCTAGCTGTTTCGTTTGATACAAAGAAAAACAATACGTGATCATCTCTTGTGGTGTTCTGTTCAACGTCTTTCTGCTGTCCTCGATAATTGTGCAGTCAATCGGAAGCCTTCGTTATCGACCATTCATTGACTCTAATGAAGTAGAATTCATCTTAGAAATGGTCGAACAATCACCCCATGTTGATTCGTTTCCTAACTAAAATATATCCAACTCAAATTAAAGAAATATAATTACAAGTAAAACAGTGAGTGAATAAAAAAATATGTGGCTTCCCTGGTATTGCAAATTGCTTTATTAAAAGTATCCAGAAACAATTATATTGCTTACAGTCAGCGTTATTTGTAATCACTGTGTTTAGATATAAAGATTTATCTTGTAATCACCGTGTTTACGAATAAAGATTATCTCGTAATCACTGTGTTTACGAATAAAGATAATCTCGTGAACACATCTTTTGCGAATAGAGAGAGAGAGAGAGAGAGAGAGAAATGGGTTTAACGTCCACACCACACAAACCAGGTCTTTTCGGGACTAACATATGGTCCAATTTTATTCCAAAAATTCGCTTGCGCGCAGGGGTCTTTAGCAGTTGGAGGAAACCGGAGGACCCGGAGAAAACCCACGAGTTTGGACATGCGACCCTACTCCTTGTCAAAAACAACCGGGGAATCGAAACCACGCCAGTTGACTCAATGACAGACCTTATGATACATGGGCGCTTACAAAAGTCGAAAATTACTAGGTGACAAGTCAAAATGGATGCGGGGGGGGGGGGGGTGAAAAATCCTTAGATCACAAGGGACGATTGTGACTTGGATCTCTGAAAACCACTCCTCCATCTGATGAAATTTTCATTTCAAAGCAGAAATGGGTTTGTTATCGCCTCTTGAACATAAAATCAGTCACATTTCAAACTGGCTTTATCTAAGCGAATGTAGATTTGTTCACAAACGGTCGACTGTTAGAGATAAAACCAGCCATATCTCATCACGGGCTTTATCTGCACACATAAATTTATTAATGTAGACAGATTTTGACCGTATAAAAATAACCACCGCACAAGGCCACAGATCACTACAAATTCCCCCATTGACTTCAATGTTAATTCTCGTATCTTAGACCGGCTCTAACTTTTCCCAAAATTTTCGTTGGGTAAAACGCTTTTACAACAGATAGAGCAACATGTGGCAACCTCTTGCCCAAAAGCATGTATGAGGTTCAACATGAAAAACTTGAGATACACAAGCTGGAAATAGAGACAAGAAAACAAGCAATTTTCGGCCCTACATTTTAACCTAACCAACCTCTCAACTCTTGTATCCTTCCGCCTCAAAATTATGAATATTCACCAAAACCTGGCAGAAAATGTATTTTCAACCCTTTTTCTTCGATTCTACACCAAAAAGTCAACAAAAATCGCCATGCAAAAGGGAGTAAAAGGAAAAGGGAGAGAGAAGCTAAACTAAAAATAGCTTTGGCCCTTGTTTCGGGGTGACGGCGTAGGAATATTTGGTGAGCTGTGTCCTATATCATAAAAGCGGAAGTGGGTTTGTTCACAAACTGTCGACTATTAGACATAAAACCGCAATCTGTTTCACAGAGTATTACGAAAGTCTTCTAATATCTCTGTAAAAGATGACTGCCCTCAACACGTGACTTCATATCACGCGGCGTCAATCATTGGCTCAATGGCGCGTGCATCAGGGCCTATTTTAACGTGCCTACAGACACGGACGTGCCTCGAAATGAAAAATCCGTGCTTGGAGAATCTAAAATTCATGCTTTGAAAAGATGGTATCATGGTATGTTATGTATCCTTGTGAATCTGAAAAGATCGCATGAGGAAATTTAGCAAGTGTGTCATTAACAATCATTGTGATCATCAATCAATGCGTTTGGTTTCGATTCAATTTCGTGGATTGTATGTAAATGTCGAAAAATAAAGCAATTGTTGACGCAAGTAGTCAGCTGCATGTTACAGTAAAGGTTCGTCTGCCTTTGGGCGTTTCTTTGGACTGCCAATAATACCGATACGCAGCTATAAATACAAATGTCAATAGTATGCAAATTTTAATTTAGGCCTCAATTTTTGACCGTTTTAGATGTTGAGGATCAAAAGATCTTGGTTGAATTCGATTCTCACAAAGTTTGTGAGCTTTATATTGTGATGAATTGAGAACACGGGAGCAAGAATCATACCGATAATCAGCATTCTGTTCCGGAGTTAACCCCCCTGGAAAACCTTGTGGAAGCGACAGGGGTTTGCGTTTTAACTGTGTTTTATTTTTTCACATTTGATGTGAAGCATTGGGGTCATGAGACGACAAACCCCATCGAGTTACCAAACTTTGCCAAAAACCTTGTGAACACGATATAGGCTACAGTTTCATATTCGATGTGTAGCATTGGGACAATGAGAGGTTGAGCCCTATCGATTTTCCCTGTTCCCTATCCATATCTTACAGAATCTCGGCGTATCGTGTATGCCAACCGCTTGTTTTGTTTTAAAAGTGTAAGCGTGGTGATAATTCAGGAAGTTTTTATTTTACTTCTGGTGAGCCTTTGTTTTGGTCACAACTAATTGATCACGATTTTAGAAGGTTTATTCCAACACATTAGAGCTAATGACGGTGATGGAAGAAGCTAAATTGAGCTACCAATGAACTATCGGTATGCAAAATGCACGTGATGAACAGTGTTAACGATGTAGTAGACAGATATTATCAGGGAGATAGTATACGCGTCAATTAAATATATCTAGAATAATATAAGATGCCATACACAGGAGGAACCTTGTTCGAGATCTGACTGAGAATAAAAAAAAAATGCCCACTGTGTTTCATTAGTTTCAATTTTAAGGAAATTTCATAACGAGATGAACAGTAAAATATTGAAGTCGGAATGAAAAATTAGATAAAGAGTTGACAGTTCTCACTATAATAGTTTTAAAAAAATAAATAGCATAAATAGAATATGCTAAAAAATTTCAGTAAAATTAGCTTTTCAATTTTAGGCTAGCCTCGATCATCGTTACTAAAGTCGGTACGATAAAAAACAAAGTCTCGATTTTCTATTTTTACGTTTAATTATTTTTAAAAATATGTATTCCAATCCGTTAAATATCGCAGGCTAGCGATGGCATCGAGGGATGATTATGGTCTGGATAGGTTAATTAATGTCTAATTAATAGTTTATGTAACATTTCAGTTCTAAAGAAAGACCTGCAATAGGCAGATTTAGCTCTTGTATAATGTATGTTTAATATGATTAATACAATGACGTCATTATTAATGTGACGTCATAATGTATGTTTAATCATAATAGTTTACCCTCGGGTGGGACAATAACACTCTTGCTGGCTTGACAGCTCCAGAAAATAACAAAATAGCCTTATTCTAAGTACTAGATGTGTTAGTGTCTTACCTGTTGTGTAAATTATCCAGTAAATCCTATTTTACTTGTCCAGAGGGTTCAAAAATATTTTTAAATCCAAGTCACATTTGAAAAGCTTTAAGTCAGGCTTTTCAAATCATGTTGAATTTTTCCAATTTTTTTGAATTAGGTGTGTTAAGATGAAATTTGTATCATCAATTAATTGGAATATTTTAAAATAGTACAATTTGTTGACCAGAATAAAGATTGGGACATATTATTCAGTTACAACAAGAGTGGTATTGAGCCTTTAAGCTCGTACATCATACCTGTTGTTGGTTAGATCTAAATAAAGGGCACCTGTAGATTTCGTCATGGTCCCGAGATGTAAACAGAACTAACGCTAACCCTAGAGCTTACCCTAACCCACAATCCTCGGCAACAATCAAGTTCCCTAACCCTGATTAAATCTCGTGACCTTGACGAAATCTGTAGGTGGCCATTATATTTAGTAGGTACGCCAACGACACGGTGAACCGCTGACGTAATTTCGTCGTCACGAGTCACGTCACAAATACGCAAGTGCGATTTGCGTATTGGCTTTTCTTCCTTGTCGGATTGTCCATTCGTACGAAACCGCGGCTTCAAATGTGGTTATTTTCGTAAATAAACAACTAGCTTTTCGCCTCGTTTTCGAATTTTTACTCTAGCTGCTCCGAGTGAAAGTCGAAAACAACACGATTTTTGGGACGGATACCAGGATAGCATAGGCCCTAGTGTAAGTAATAAATATATTGATTTGAAAATATATATATTCAACTTTAATTTTGTGAGTTTTTAATGACATCGGTAGATGCGGAGCCAAAATATTAAGTGCAGTTTCGAAGTGTTCGCCATGTTGGAAATTTTCGTCGAATCGACATTGGTCATGTCAACAAACCTCGTATTTTTGTAGTATTAAAAGCTTATATAAACACGAAATATAGCAATATATGACAAGATTAGTTATCATAGAATAGGTTTTGGGGATGATTTGGGTTTTGAATCCTCACATAACTCAGATGACGGAAGATTTAAACTGTGGATGTTTGAAGGAAAATCTGCTGCGCTAGTCTAACAAGGTCACGTGACCACGGATACGGCTTCTGATTGGACCACGTCATCAATATTTGTAAACATTGAGTACGTGGCTTTGTTTTCTATCTTTGAAATGACAGATTATGTGATACTTATTTTAGTAAAAGTAAAGTGGGTTTTTTTTCCCCTTTTTCAGGTTCCAATTTCCATGAAAGCATGGAATAGTGACCATCAATCCATATCGGTAAATGAAATAGGTAAGTTATTTGAACCTCCATAGGTCTTTGATAAAAGTGCAGATAGATGTCAACAGGAGGTTATGACATCATTTTCAATAAAAGAAAAATACCCGAATAGAGCAATCAATGAACACAATTTTTAAATATAGTGGACTTAATTAAGTAGATTACCCCCCACCCCCTTTCCCCCATAACATGACAAGTCTAAAAAGGTGTTTTTATTTTTGCAGGTATTTTCAGCTGAAACAATGCCACCCAAGAAGAAGAAATACCGACCATTTCCACAGGCTCCTGGAATTGCAGAAACCTTCTTACGGAGTAATTATAGTGCTGCTGCTCCGGAGAGTTGGAAGAATGGTCACGTCCTCCATGTCTTCATGTCATCAAATCATGCCGTGAAGGAAACTCTTAAAAACCTAAGAGATTTGATGACAGAGGACGTGACAGAAAATTCAGTTTTACGACTGGTGAACCGTTTTAAAAAATTCAAAAAACTGACTGACTGTAAGGAATTTAATCAGTTTGAGAAGCTGTGTGCAGCGTATTTTAAGATTTTAACGGTTACTCCACGGGGTGTGCGAAGACGCCTCTTGGATGCTAACACAAACGACTCTAAATCGCCTCTGAAAACTAGACATACTGGTGCTTGTGGGAACTGTCGACTTCTTAGAGATAATTTGCGGAAGTGTATTCAGGAGAAAAATGCCCTGAGAAAGGAACAGTCTCGTAATAAAGACCAGCTTCAAAGGTTAAAACTGTGTCCCAAGAAGCTGAATGAGAAATTAAAAAGGAGGGATGCAACCATTGCAAGGTTAAAACAATCACTGGCAAATCAGGATAAATCTGCAAAACAAGAACTGTGTCAAGCAAAAAGCAGTCAGTGAAGAGGCTGAGAAAGAGACAGTACGGAACGCAGGTGTGGATTGAGTGAAAGAACTTGAAACTGTATACCAAGACAGGTTTCTTCAGCAGGAAGAGGACCTTGAAGATGTTAAGTCATCCAGTGCAGAATTGAAAAGTGAATTCAGTAAGGAAGGGAAAGCGTATCACTTCAGAATGAGAATCATGGTTCCAACTGCAGAGATTCCAAATCAAATTCTTTCTTTCGCAAAAAGCTTCGGATGCAAGTTAGAAGCAAAGGACATATCAGGGAGAAGTACTGTAGAAAATATGATCGTAGAACTTGGTCTAATTAGTGATCTTCAGGTAGCAGAACTTATTTATCGCGCTGAAAATGTTACTGTGGGGTTTGACGCAACGACACAGGAGGGTCTTTATGTGAATGCTATTCACACTACTACGAAAGGGGAGTGTTTGGTAGTGGCTCTTGATCAGCTTGCTGGAGGAACAGCTGTGGACTATACTTCTCATATACATGTAGTTGAATCAGTTGACCATCTAGCAATAACCTATTGTGATTTTCACCAACATGCTGAATTCAGTGAGGTAAAAGAGACAATTGTATCACACATAAACAGTACCATGACTGATAGGACAGGACAGCAGCTAATCACGCAGCAATTAGAATGGTGAACAAATGTTTCGGTAAAACTTTGCTTGAAGTAAATTGTCACCTGCATCCTTTGGACAGTATTGCTTCAAAAAGTCGATCAACTCTGCATTCACTATAAAGCGATAAACCAAAACTCTGTGGGAGTGGTTGTTTTGCTGAACGGATTACCCTCGCTATTAACAAGATGCGTTACAAAGACAGTGAGGGAGGGGAGACCTCCATGGATTTCGTGTATTCCTGTCTGATCATAACCTACCCAAATCACTAATTGTGCATTACAGGGGAAACCGAGACTTCATGTCTTGTTCAAGCTCGCTGCAGTGTTCATATAAAACTATGACTTGATAAACCATTACCTCACTACTAGATGCCTCAACAACACGAGTTTAAAGACAAGCTTAATAGAAGACTTTAAGCACCCTGTTGCGTTCTTGGAGTTGAAAGTCCTTGCTGTTCTTGGAAAAGTCATTTTGGCCCCCTGATGAAGCGTTTTTTCCGGGGACAAGAGAACCAGATGCATCATACGGATGCTTTTCTTGAGGTCAAGAAGTGTTTGGAAAGCGTAAAAGTAGCCGACTTGAAAGAGTATTTCTTTGGCGATGTTGTTGACCATAACGAAGATGAAAGGATATGGAAAGATGATGTCGATCAATCAAAATTCTCAGTAATGATGAAAGCCGTTCCCAGAGCAGTTGTTGACGTCATCCTACGACAATACAAGAACTATTATGCCACTGAGGACACAGATGACCGGGGACGAATCCTGTAAAGTGCGGGTACCCATAATATTGACTCGGGGGAGGTTATGGGAATGTTTAGTGCCAGAGCTCCCAGGGCCACTATCCTTTTTGTGTCTTCTAAAATTATGGGGAAAAAACAAGACAGTTCAGTATATTGCATCAATGAGCTAGTCCAAAACAACAGGGTGTAATCAAACGGTCCATATCACTTGCAGCTCAATTGAGAAGAAAAACACAGAAGTCCATGACAGAGCCTCAGAAAGAACTATCCATGCGTATTGCTAACAAAATGCAAAAAAGGGAGCAAGCTGAGAGGAGAAAAAACCGAAAAAAGGTTGAAGGAACTGATGTATTCTAATAGTGATAATCCAGACTTCACTGCTGCATTTCCGTCTCTGGATAACCTATTGTTCGAGATTCTCTTGGAGATATATGATAGATCTGTTGTTGGGAGAAGATTACTGCACAATTGGGCTCAGGAAGGTTCTTTTAGTGATAAGACATACAATGCCAAGGTTGAAAAGTTCGAAGTGACAAAGTCGGGGGCAAAATCTTTCACAATCTGCTACTGGGAATTTGATGAAAGTTATATATGACGATGATGGTGTAGACTACAAGATTCCAGCTCATGAAAATTTCAGTCACATTTATCCACTCTGAACCGAGAATTTAGCGATTGAATTTTAGGCTTAGCCTCGAACATCATTACTAACGTCGGTACGATAAAACAAAACACCATAGTCTTGATTATCCATTTTTTTTATTTAATCATCAATGAGCGTTGAGCAGCAGATCGGATTCCAATCCAGTACATATCGCAGACTAGCGATGACATCGATAGTTGATTATGATCTTGATAAGTTAATTAATGTCTAATTAAACATACATTATGCAGGAGCTAAATCTGATTATTGCAAGTCTTTATTTAGGCTTCAGATGTCATAGAAATTATAAATTAGATCTTTATTTACACAACAAGCACAAAATCAACTCTGTAGACCCACGAATGGCTTGGATTCAGCTTGGATTTAAACGGGATTTCGTTGACTGAATTAATTTTAAATGGCGTCGTGAGCGGAGATTAACCGTTACGTTGACGTCATACTCCCGGGTCGAGGCTAAATGATAGAGTGTACGAAGCGAGGCCGCTTTTGAGCGATGCCCTAACAAATGACATCTAAACTATTTAAAGCGCAACAAACTAAACACAGATAATGACAAATTATACAATTCCTGGAGACCGTGTGATGACTAATACAGACGGACAGGTCTTCTGTCTTAATAATATCAATAAAAATATTTTTATTTCCCCAATAGGCACGACGCCACTGGTGTATACCTATAGATTATGTCCTATATTCAATTGATTTAATGCATGCCTAAAATACAAGTAAGAATGAAAATTTACCCTCTAACTCATTTTGTCCAATTGTTATAAAAATCCAAAAAGGTAAAACACAAATTCAGATATGGTGACAGCAGACAAAAGACAGCAGAGATTATGTAGGTGGAGTTAACGCCTGTCAATCAAACGATCGGCCATACTAAGAATCGGTGAAGATGGAATTCAATCCCATTTCTAGTCAAAAATTACACTGGTGATAACTATGTTCAGAATAAAGTAATTTGACTGAAATTTTCAATATATTCTTTCATCATCTATTTTTGAACTGTTATAGCAAAAATGGCTAACTCCTTATAAAAATCTCCCATAATGTATCTTTAATAATTTAGATAACATTTCAGGTCCAAAGAAAGACCTGTAATAGGCAGATTTAGCTCTTGCATAATGCATGTTTAATAAGTTATATATATAGCACGGCCTTCATGAGTTAACAGGTTTAACCAGAGGCCGAAGGCCGAAGAGTTAAATCTGTTAACGAATGGAGGGTGCTATAAATGACTTGTAACATTGACAACTGCTCAACATGCTTATTGTTATTGCACCCCACTTCTCTATATGATTTCTACTAAAACTAGTGTAAACCAGAAAAAGTGTGCAATAACTTTGAATATGTCTAGTTATTGCACGGTTAAGCTACACCCAATCTACTAGAGGGAAAACAATCTGCTTATTCACCGAAAAGAACAAAGGAAGATTTCCCATCCATGTTATAAATATTATTACAACTTTAAAAAAGAAAACAAGAAAGAAAGATTAGATGAAATATAATCTAGATGGTTAGTCCAGGTAGGCCAGTGTCTATAGAGAAGAACACGTTTCTACTCTTATATATCATCCTTATACTAATGATAATATATACTTGTGTGTAATGGAGACAGGATCGATTACTAGCACATATATAGAACTGTCAAAATTCATGACGGAGAAATCCATTTGTTATTGTTCAACAGAGGATAATATTAACCCCGCATTCATTATACAAGACGGAAGACCAACTTTCTAATATTTGTATTTATTAGCTAGATTGATCCGTCCCATGTCTATTGGCCTTTTAATTAAAATAATGGCTTACCATTAGAAATGTTGATTATTACTTTCCCCGTCGTGATTACGGTTATATAAGTAATTCATTGTTCGTCTTGGAGAAGATATCTTTCAGTGGCGTGTTCAAGAATCTCTCTGAAGGAGCGTGCCATGGAATTTCAATAACTTTGTGCTCTCTGCCCGGCAGATAACAACCCTGCGTTCTGGGTTGAGATGGGGTGGATGTTTATTGCTGGTTGCTGAGTCAAGTTACTATAACAATATCTTTGATCAATACAATCTAAGACAATATCATATTTCATATTTTAGAAATTGTTCAATAATCAATTCAATTTTGTACCTTGTCATTCATTAATAACCTAGTGGATGACCCGGCGCTGCGCGGGTTGAAAGTAATTTAACTCCGATATCGGAAGTGGTAGTCCAACGCCACATAGCCCATGTTACTCCCCCGTTCGAGCTACCCCTATACACCATATCTCAGTCTCAGGATAGCTCTAGTGTAGCCGCCATTTTCATTTCATTCACCGTGTTGATTTATATGTGATCTGATCAAACTGAGCAAGATACAGTGGTGGCATAAACTATAAACTATATACAGAACGTGTATATGAAAAGAATAACCCCCCAAAAAAAACATACTTCACTGTTTAAAGGACAATATTGGTGTCAGTCATTATCATATATATGATAGAACTGGTTAAACACGTTCCAAATATAATTTTAACACTGCTACGATAGTGACGAAGGCAAAAGGAAAAAACGAGTTATCCTTCTATATAACTGACTGAAGTGAACAGGCGCGATACACGGGTGAATTTCTGCTCACTAATAATTCCTTCTATTTTTTTTCGTTTTCCCTTATCTAGTGACATTCAATTACTCGTTTGAATTGTCAGATATCCCCTCAGTCTCACATAACAACTTTTGGTCTTCGAAGGAATTATTAGTGAGCAGAAATTCGCCCGTGTATCTGTCATCACTCGTCACTTCAGTCAGTTATATAGAAGGACAACTTGTTTTTTTTTTCGTTTTGCTTTCGTCACTTCCGTATTTTTTTAAATCATCATTACGCATCCATCATAGCAATGATCTCGGTCTTAAAAAATTATATTTGAAACGTGTTTAACCAGTTCTATCACATGTGATAATGACTGACACCAATAGTGCCCTTTAAGTTCGTTATTTGATGTCTTCTGCTAAATCCAAACCCAAGAAGAAAAATAACATCTATGAATAATAGCCTCGTTATTAAGAGTCTCGAGAATACGTCGTCCAGACGATCCTTACGTCACAGATGATTAAACAACAGGCGCCATTATTAGTAGAAAAGGTAAAATATCGTTCGAGCAGAAGTATTACATTTCAGTCTGACCATAAATAGGCATATATAGAAACGCTTGTTAAAAGCTTTAGTTATAGAACGAGCTAGACGAATATCAATTAAAAACATTTACATGGATGTCAATCAAAAGCGTTCAAGAAATACATTAAAGGAGCTAAATCGCAAATATTTGGGACCTAGAAATTGACACAAATGAAATGAAATGGGGTTTAACGTCCTACTGTTTTGCTCCGAACTGGGCTAATGAAGACGGGCATACGCCATACAGTGTGCTATGAGGGAAATTTATCCCGGACAGCGGCAC